AATACTTCCGTGAAATTAATCTGAATCATAAACACTGAACTTCAACAGTGATACATAAGTTTAGAGATATGGAAATGCTTGCTCTTTATATACCTTTACTATTATACCTTTACTATTATACCTTTACTATTATATACCTTTACTATTATTATACCTTTACTATTATACCTTTACTATTTTATATTTTATATAAATAAAATATAAAATACCTTTACTATTTTAAGTGGTTTGTTTTGTAATCAGGCAAAAAATACTTTTAAAAACATATTTTCTAAGAATCCAGCTGACTAGTATGTATGAGAAACAAGAATGTGAATTTCTCTAAGTACACTAAACAATTCTCAAAGAGAGAAATGTCTGAAAACATGAAACAAATGCCCGCTCAGTTTACCACTACTTCTCTCTGCAATTTTCCTTTTAAATTTTAGCTCTCAAAATCTCTTGCGGACTATGTCACTATTTAACTCCACAGATATCCCCTTGAAAATGGGAGAACAGAAGTTTAAAAAAAAAAAAAAATTAAAGATGAGGAGCTAGAGGGCAATTCCCCAACAGCCAACTATCCCCCTTGGCAATTATTTTCTCTTGAGCATTATCCTCTAATTCCATGAAAGATTTAATGTTTACTTTGATTCCACAAATTCCTTAAGAAAAAAATTTTGGATTGGAAAAACAAAGTAAAAGTTCAAAGGCCATGTTGGGGAACCTGTTGGGAAACAGAGCTAAAGAGCAAATAAAATGTTGACAATAATACAAGATTCTTATTCATTTATCTTATAGAAAACCTGTTTTTTGTCCACCTCAAGTAAGATACATAGAAGACACCAAGAACCTTATACTATAGCTAGCACTTAAAGTTGTAGCCAAATATTTCTTCTCGATACATCCACTCTGACTACTCAAATATAATCCACAGTTTGACCAATTGACTAATGGATTCTAATGCTACTAGTGCTTAGAAATAAATACAGATACATAGTTCAATTCTTATAATCATATGATTATATGATTTTCAGAAATTGATCACACTTCAATCTAAGTAAAAGCTAGCCTTTATAATGATGCTTAGTGACATTTCATGAGGCCCAAAGGTCATCTAATGCTCTCTGCAACCTTACTTGGAATTCACCAACTTTTTTCCACAGTGGTGATTTTCAAGCTTTCATCAAGTTTTGGTATAGCCAACGAGGGAAAATGAATGATATATAGCAATTTTTCCCCCTTTGCCTTATTCAGTTTGAAAGGGTTCTGGGCTAGACCTGCAGAGAAAGAGACTTGTCACTATGCGAAGAATTAATGCTCTGGAAACCTCAACAGCATCATACCATAAATAGTCTGCAGCTAGCTACTTAATTGTTTAATAGGAGGTTTGAAATGTTTATTAGGAGGTTTGAAAACCCAGTAGATTCATAATGAACAGTTTTAGTATTGCCTTTTTCAGGGCCCTCCCTGGTGGTGCAAGGGGTTAAAGCACAGCACTAAGAAGCTACCTTAAGTTGATTTCAGGCCAGGGAGCCTCACCCACATGGAGCAGCAGACCTCTCCTGTCTTGCTTCTGCTCCCCTCAGCAATGTATTTCAGTCAATCCAACTGAGCTGATCCTCACTCTGTCTCTGGTGAATCCTCTCACCCTCACACCTCTAGCCTGTATCCCTTCAGTCAATCCACCTGAGCTGATCCTCACTCTGCCTTTGGTGAATCCTCTCACCCTCACACCTCTGGCCTGTATGCCCCAGCTCTTGTATGCATAAATGAATAAATCTTTTTTAAAATTTATTTTTTAAGGTTTATTTATTTATGCATACAGTACTGGGGTACAGGTCAGAGGTGCAAGGGTGGTAAGAGGATTCACCAGAGACAGAGTGGGAAGCAGAGTAGGCAAATCCATGAAGTAGACTGCTGAGGGGAGCAGCGGGGAGACAGGAGAGCTTTGCTGCACCATGTGGGTCACCTCCCTGGCTGGGGATCGAACGCAGTTTTAAGACTACTCCACAGGATATTTTATATCTATGTTCAGCAAAATGATAGGTGTTGTGTGATACTTCACATAAATAGAACTTATGATAGAAGTAGTTTTTGAGAAGTTTTTCTTCTTCCCTGAAATTTCCTTTTATTTTCCAGTGTAGGTTTCTGAATTTAAAAAAAGGAGAAAATATCAATTCTAAAACTGTTTTGACCTTCCAAAAATAAGAATGAAGTAGCAGTTGTGGTAGAAATAGTAATCGTAACTTTTGTAGTATGATAGTTTATTTGTTCCTGTGTGCTGCAATCAATGGGGAATGATTTATCATATTTAGGTTGTTATGAAGAAACTACATAAAACAACCCCATGTTCTTATTCTCAGCCACAGGAAAATAATATTTACATGTTTTACCTTAATATTCCTTCATTACACAACTCTTAAGATGAATTGTAATCTACAAATGCTGCAAAATTTGATTTATCAAATTATATCATTCATATCCATTAAAATATTACTCCTTGAACTTTACCATGTAGTATTTTTTAAAAACAATATAAAAATATCAAATATTACAAGAAAATAACAAAAATAATGAACAACCATAGACCAGAGACATTCTGTGGGGGTGGAGTGGGGAATGGGAT